TATAATGAGCAAAGTTTTGAGTGGAGCGGGACTTAAACCCGATGACTCCTTCCTTCCCGTTTAAAAGAATCGCTACCAAAACCCTAACCCAAAAAGGATGAGGCAGCCGCTATACTCGAACCTCTCAGCCACTACCACCTATTTTCTTTCATCCTCCGATCATCCATGGCCGCTGATGACTACCACTCAGCCGGTCGCTGTCGTTCGAGGCCGATGCCTTGCCGCCGAGTCGAGTTCTTATTGTTGTCGGGGAACCACCGGGATGAGCTCGCCATCACCGTCAAAGCTGAAACAATCGTGAGTCGTCGTCATGGTCGGGGTTATCATTGCCGCCGGCTGTAGGCGCAAGGGTGGGCGCCGTTCGCTGCCACCGTTCCTCTTTCTCCTTCCCTTCGTTCTATTGCCGGGTTGCTTCAAGTCGCCAGCGAGGCCGTGAAGGGGTTTTTGTGTTCGAATTTTCGCTATCAGGAGGGTGTTTGTTGCTATGAAGTAATGGGTGTGGTTCTGCTTCAAGATTCGGGTGTAGGGGAGGCTGTTCGGTTGGGAACCCAAAGGAACCGCCGCCACCACCACGAGGTGGTGGCTGTCGACGTAAAACCATCTGTCACCGCCATAGGCCACCAAATGGATGGTTGGCTTCCCTCTCCAAGCTGAAGGCGTGATGATACGTGTGGGTGCTAACTGGATTGCTCGAAAAGGACAACACCACCACCATAGCGTGGTGGTTGTTACCTCGTGCCACCGTAGCTGCCATTAGGTTGTTGTATATGTGCTTGTATTTGTGTGTGTGATTATTTGGGGTCTTAGCATTGTAAAATGTAACCGGAAGGAAAAAAATAATAAAAAGAAACTCAAACCACCACCGTGAGGTGGTGGATGCCGCCTCCTGCCGCCACTGGCCGCCGTGTCGGGTGGCGGTGTGCTTTGATGGTGTTTAGACTCGTTTGGATGATTGGATAATGGACTAAAACCCTAACGGGCCTTGTCAGCCTAATGGGCCCAATAAAACCCAAATGGGCTTGATAACATTCTAGTGGGCTTGATAGGCCCAATAAAGCCTTAATGGACCTAAAAGCCCAACAAATTGATAAATGGACTAATATTTGGGTTGGAAAAGCCATAATATCAATAAAACCCTAATTTGTGGAAATTACTTGGGACACACACAAGAATTAATTATTAAATCTGAAATAAAAATTAATAATCATTGGCAAACTAGCGTAATGCATAAGGGACTTAATGGATTAAGTCCTTCATTGGTTAAGAAAGAAACATTGAACCTTAATCGTCATTTCATGTGAAAACTCTAATTTGGGATTATGGGTTTGGACTTATCGAGATCCACATTTGGGCCATTGGAATGGAATTGTGTGATTAAGCCCAATCACACCATACAACTTATTTTGAAGAATGATGGACTTAATGGATTAAGTCCTTAGAGGAATAATTCCTTAACGGGTTAAGTAGGAAACTTAACCCTAATCGACATTTTATGTGAAACCCTAACGTAACTTGGGTTTATTGTTGGACCTTTCTACTGGGTCTTAATGATTGGATTATTAATAGGCCATCCAAGAATAATTATATGGGCTAAAATAATTTAATGGGCCTAGGGTAAGTCCCATGTAAGGGGTTGGGCCCAATTTGGAAAATTGGGCCATAGATGGACCATAGTTGGGCCTTAATGATTGTATTATGTTGGGCCATATGCTGGGCTTCGATTCCTAGTTCACATTGGGCCTATGGTTTGGGCCTTGTACTTGAATAAAGCAAATCTTAGGGTAATGTAGTAATTATCCAAGTATGTATTTATGGTTATGTGTTGGGACCCAATTATTAATTGGGTGTTATTTTGGTGTTGACAGTTCGGGAATCTGTCATCCAGCAGCTGGGGTTGAGTCTGCGAGACTTCAGCAAGTATGAGATTTTGTCTTCGGGACTTCAGCAGTGTGAGGTGAGTTATCTTCTAGTAGTAGTGGGCCTAAGGCCACAATACCGGCCCACTAGTAGGAAGTATATGATTAGATGATTGTCTTTGTGATATTCATCTAGGGTTGCTACTACCTGTGTTATATTTATGTGTTTGTATGATATGATGTTATTTGCTAGTGATAGTAGGGGGAGATAGTCCCCAGGTTACCGGTCGATAGGGCCGAAGGGGCAGTCAAGCCCAGCCATGTTCAATATATTATGTGATACGTGTTATGTGGTAGTGGTAAGGGGTGAAATATTCCCCAGTATCCGGTTGAGAGGACCGAAGGGGAGACCAGCACCCAGATATGCTAGTCAGTAGCCGGTCGAGAGGACCGAAGGGGAGACCAGCACCCATATATGCTAGTCAGTATCCAGTCGAGAGGACCGAAGGGGAGACCAGCACCCATATATGCTAGTCAGTATCCGGTCGAGAGGACCGAAGGGGTAGGTCGGGCACCCAGATATGCCTGACAATATATGTATGTTATGTGATTATATGGTATGTGGTATGATGGGGGAACTCACTAAGCTTCGTGCTTACGATTTTCAGTTTTGGTTTCAGGTACTTCGTGTCTAAAGGAAAGGAGCCGGCTTAATCGCAGCGCATCACACTATGGTTTTCCGCACATGGGATCTTTGGGATTACACTCTGATATTGTTTTATGATAACATGTTTAATTATTTCTACTTTGGTTTTGACATGATATGATATTACAAATGTTTTATTACACTATTGGTTTTATAATGACTTATTTAAAAATATTTTTTTTTAGCCTGTATTTTTGGGATGTTACAATGTTAACATTTGAATGTAACATTGATATCGATTATTTGGAGTTGTTGGGGGTATTTGTAGTGGTTGAAGTATTTTGAATTTGCTTCAACATTTGAATGTAACATTGATATTGATCATTTGGAGTTGTTGGGGGTATTTGGAGTGGTTGAGGTATTTTGAATTTGCTTCGTACTTTTGAGAAAAAAACATGAGAGAGTAGAAAGATATGTGAAAGATTTTGTGGTGTGAAATGGTGTAAAAATATTGAATATATATATATATATATATATATATATATATATATATATATATATATATATATATATATATATATATATATATCAGTGTTGCAGAAATCGGTTAAATCGGCCGATTAATCGGCGCCTATTCGCTAATCGGCCATCGACCGATGAGGTTTATTGCTAATCGGTTACTTAAATCGGGCTTGGTCAAATTCGGTTAAATGCGGTCCTAATCGGAGCTAATTGGCGCTAGTCGGAGTTAATCGGTCAAAACCGGTCAAAGAAAATTCAAAAAATTTAAGGGCAAAAATGGCAATCTGAAATTATTTTTCTAGGGTTCGTTCCCACTCCCGCATTCCATCGTATTCAATCCACTGTGTTTTCTCTCTTTGGATATTTTGAAACACCTACTCACCTCGACGCCTCCTAAGATCGTTCACTACATTGTCGACTTCCAAGTTCACCTCCGACGCCATACACTTCTACAGAATCCTTCCAACGCCTGCCTTGTTTTATCGAGCATCTCATACTTCATTCTCGCCTCAGAGTTAGTGGGTCGACATCTCATACTTCCAAATCCGACTCAGGTAAGTTTATTTTGACTTTTTTTTTTGTACTTGTGAAGAACCCAAAGAATGTTACTGCTTATTAATTTGTTAGATAAAGTGGATTCCCTTAATTCTCTACATTCATTTAAGTCTTGTATGTGCAATCGATTCCCTGTATTCTCGTTTGGATTTTCCCTGTATTCTCGGTTGGAATTGTTTTTTAAATGTTCATCAAATTGAAGCTTAATTCTTGTCACTGCTGGACCATCTCAAAACTTCTAATCACATTTAGTAAGAAATCTGAGTGATAAGTATGTTAACTTTTATAACAATAATCATAAAAATAGAAGTTTTTTGGTTCAACTCTTAAGCCTAAGTTGTTTACCTGTTAAGCCTAAATTTTTTCCAATTAATCTTTTACTATGAAAGTATTAAGCTATTTACCTGACAAGCTGTTAAGCTATTAAGTTGTATTTTTGTTGTGAAATTGTTAAGTTGTTAAGCTATTAACCTGTCAAACTGTTATGCTATTAAGCTGTATTTTTGTTGTGAAGTTGTTAAGTTGTTAAGCTATTAACCTGTCAAGCTGTTAAGCTATTAAGCTGTATTTTTGTTGTTCACTCTTTTGTAACTTTTGTTGTTAAGCTGTTAGGCTGGATTTTTTCTGTTAAGTTGTTTAGTTGTAAATTGGTTTTTGACTTTCTATTGTGTTAATGTGACAATTTTGATAGCAGGTGGCGATTAATGACATCAAATGCTTCCACTACACCATCTGTTGGATCAACCCCCACCACCACGGGTGCACATAAACGTAATTCAGATGACGTTGGTTGGGAATATGGTTTTATTTCGGATAAAAGCAACATGGAGAGATTGCAATGTATCTTGTGTGGAAAAACATTTAGCGGGGGGATTTCTAGAATGAAACAACATATTGCTCATGTGACGAGTAATGTATCCTCATGTCCAAAGTCTACAAAAGATGATCAATTGAAATGTAAAAATTCTCTTAATGAAGGGAAGCTAAAAAAGAAAGCTAAACAAGTGCATAATGAAGGCTTAAGGGTGGAGGCGAGACAAGAATTTCATGAAGCAGAAAATTCTTTGGGATCAAAGGTACCTAATGTTATAGGCCCCATGGATAACTATGCAAACATAATAAACCCAGAAGAAGGTTTGAAGGAGGCAAAGGGAAAAAATGTTGATCTTAACAACATTGTTCGAAAAGAAAGAATATTAACGGTCCATAAATTCATTAGTAGGTGGGCATATGAGAGTGCGATTCCTTTTCATGCCTTTGAAAGGGATAGCTTCAAAATAATGTTGGAGGTTATTGGCCAATTTGGAACCGGGCTTCCATGTCCTACTAGATATGCTTTGAGTGACCCGCTTCTAAAGCATGAGGTTGAAAGAACAAAAAATTGTTGAAAAAAAATGAAAAGGAATGGAAAGAGGATGGATGCTCAATTATGACCGATGCTTGGTCCGATTGAAAGAGAAGAAGCATTATGAATTTATGTGTTAATTCAAAGATGGGTACCGTTTTTTTTATCTTCAAAAGAATGTTCCGGTGAAGCACATACAAGCCAACACATATATGAGTATGTGGAATCTTGTATTCAACAAGTTGGTCTCGAGAATGTTGTTCAAGTTGTGACAGATAATGCCACGAATAACATGGGGGCGGCGAAGTTGCTAAAAGAGAAAAGACCATCTATTTTTTGGACATCATGTGCGACACATACCATTAACCTTATGCTTGAAGGTATTTACATTATTTTGTTTATTTATTGTATTTATTATTTTATTTTTATTACTTTATTTAGTTTTAAAATGTTTAATTGTATACTAAAATTTGTTATTTGATCGTGTTTATTTTTTCAAGGTATCGGAGCACTCCCAAGGTTTAATAAAATCCTAGATCAAGCAAAGAAACTAACCATATTCATTTACGCTCACCACAAAACCTTGGCGATGATGAGAACTTACACCAACAAAAGGGAAATTATCCGACCGGGAGTCACGAGATTTGCTTCCGCCTTTCTCACACTACAAAGTTTGTCCGAAAAAAAGGAGCAACTAAGACATATGTTCTCTAGCAATGAATGGGAGGAATGTAAATTTTCCGGTAAGCCTAAAGGGATTGCCTCATATAAAACGGTGACAAGTGTCCAATTTTGGTCCGGTGTGACACAATGTTTAAAGGTGTTCTCCCCTTTGGTGAAAGTCCTTAGAATGGTTGATGCGGATTGGAAGCCCTCAATGGGTTTTGTTTACGGGAAGATTAAAATTGCAAAAGAAGAAATTATCAAATCTTTGAGTGGTAACGAGAAACATTACAAACCTATTATAGATATCATAAACGCAAAGATGAAAGGTCGGCTAGATTCAACTTTACATTTGACATCTTATCTTTTGAATCCGTATTATCATTATAATGATTCACAACTCCAATATGACCCCGATGTAATGGATGCGGTTCTTGAGTTTTTCGATACATTATTTTGTGGAGATTTAGAGAAGCAAAGGCAAGTCGTAACTATTGACTTGCCAAAGTACAAGAAAAAAGTTGATAGATTTGGTTGTGATCTTGCGATTAAACATTGTAAGGTGAACGATGTCGACTTTGATCCGGGTAATTCGTTTTCCTTTTAGTTATCTACTTATCTATTTTATAAAATTTTGATATTTATTGATTAATAATGTGATTTTTTTTCAAAACCGTAGCTAGTTGGTGGGGACTATTTGGTGGCGCAACTCCTAATTTGACAAAGGTTGCAATGAGGATTCTTTCTTTAACTAGTAGTTCATCGGGTTGTGAAAGGAATTGGAGCACGTTTGAAGGGGTTAGTAATATAAAGCATTAAATTTAAATTTTATAAAATTATAATATTAAGCACGTTTGAACTCTTTGTTGTGTTAAAATTTATAGGTACATACAAAGAAACGAAATAGATTGGAGACAAGTAAATTGAACAATCTTGTTTATGTTCAATTCAAATGTAAATTTAATGGAAAAAAAACAAAAAGAGAAAAGATAGAAACATGGAAGTGTTATTAGCAAATAATTCTCTCTTGGCTCAAGAATGGATTGTTGATTGTGATGAGTGTGATGTAGATGAAGTAGATCCTAAAACGGTTGATGAAGCTCTAGCAACCGATGTTAGTCAATCACCCCGAGAAAGTCCAAGAACGAGGGAACTATTAGATGAAGATTTCGAGTCCGAGAGTGAGAGTGATGAGCAAGTGTTGGAAGAAGAAGAATATGAGTCGGATGGTGTTCAGATAATGGAAGTATGCGGAGAAGATTAAAAGAAAATGTGCGTTTAGTTTTGAGCTATTTAAACTTATGGTGGACTTGTTGGATGATGATTGTGTGTGTTTGTTATAACTTATTATTAAATTTTATGCTTATTTTGGAGGATGATTTGTTGTGTTTGTTAAACTTATTTAGTTATTATTAAACTTTTATGCCTATTTACCTATATTCTTAGTATTAAGTTAGATTTATAAAATTTTGAATATTTTTCTTAATAATTAATGGTCCCCGATTAATCCCCCGATTAATCTCCGTCTAGCCGATTAATCCCTAATCCTCAGTCCACCGACTAGCTAACGCATAGCGTTTTCTACAACCTTGATATATATATATATATATATATATATATATATATATATATATATATATATATATATATATAATTTGTAACGGGTCAAAAATTATCTATTTGCAACATATGAGGATGATTGGTTGTAACAACGCATAATTGGCCTCAATTCATACCATCCTTACGGACATGGGAGGTGATTACACGTAATCACCCCCGCCACGTCACCCTCTACACGTAAAAATACCTCCCATACCATTCGGCCTACAACGATTCCATACCATTCGGCCTAAGACGACTGCATGACAAAAAAGAATAACCTTATTTTTTTTATTAAAATAAAAAGATTAAAAAAACATATTATCTTGCGTGTTGCTTTAGCCATTTCCGTCCTTTTTGTAATTAGCCCATTTAATTTATTACCACATCAAAATGAAATCGTATTAACGTCCTTAATTGATTGTCTTCTATCTTTCTTTGTAATTTGAATTTTCTTAACGTTATAGATTAATTTGTAAAGAGACTTGAGCTCCACTCTGCCCTACCAACCACGGACCACCAATCTCTTATCATCCATGACGCCAACAATCCAAGCATCCAACATTACCTCCGATCAAATTATCAAGTTAAAGGCTTAACCTTTATCCACCTCTTTGAAAATCTCTTCTACTTCCACTACTCGGTTAGTTCCTCCCTAATTTTATAATAAAATAAGATTTCAGACACCCATTCTTCATCAATTCAAACGAGTTACACCCTAAATAGATTAGGGCTTTCCCCAACTCTTCTATCTATTGTCAAACCTTCATTTCAAGATTATCATTTTATCCTTTCTCTTTTCTGTCTTTTATTTTCATTATGTAGTTTGCTTGATTACTATATCTTGATTGAATTCGGTTTTTCTTTCTTGCAATCTTTTTATTTCTATTCGGAATCTTCATCAGTTTTTTGGTTTTCTGGGGTCTTGTATTTAAGAATCCGAATTATCTCAAGCACCCATTTGGAGTTAGGTTGTATAGATTCGATCTTTAGATCATCTAATTATGCCCATGTGAGCTTTCTCTATCTTCTTTCTTATATTGAGTATTTTGTACCTTTCCTGAAAGAACCGATAAGTTTCTTGAGTATTTTAGATCGTTAAGTTCATAATTTATTCCACAATTTGCTAACTTCCGCAACACCCATCATTCCTCTCTCTCGATAGATCTATATCATTGTTGTAATCTGCGTTCACTCGTTAAAAGAAATGTATGGAACTCAAAGCAAGAGGGATTTGTCGCTTGAGATTCAATCACAAATCCCAATCTTGAGACCAAGCATTCATGCTCGAAGGGCTAATATTACAGTAAAGTTTCAAGATCTTTATGGGTTTACTGTGGAAGGCAATGTTGACGATGCGAACATATTGAATGAGGTGCGAGAGAAAGTGAGGGAACAAGGTAGGGTTTGGTGGTCATTAGAAGCCAGCAAAGGGGCAAATTGGTATTTGCAAACCGATGTATCCTCCGCCCTTAAAGCATCCTTGAAATTTTCAGTTTTAGTTAACGCAATCACCCTCAAGAAGCTAATAAGGAAGGGGATTCCTCCAGTTTTGAGACCTAAAGTTTGGTTTTCTTTATCTGGCGCTGCTAAGAAGAAATCGACTGTTCCTGATAGCTATTACAATGATCTGATAATAGCTGTCGAGGGTAAAGTCACCCCTGCCACAAAACAGATCGATCATGTAAGTTATAACATATAATTTTTTTTTTTTTTTTTCTGTTTTTGTCTTGAAGGGTATTTTCGACATTTGACACTCTTACAGGATCTGCCTAGAACTTTCCCTGGTCATCCATGGTTGGATACTCCCGAAGGTCATGCTTCTTTGAGACGTGTTCTTGTTGGTTACTCTTTCCGTGATTCCGATGTTGGTTATTGTCAGGTAAAAAAAAAATCCAACCTTTTTTTTGAATCCATTATCCCTTTAATTTGTTTAAGATGATCAAATTCAAAGATGATGCATATGTTAAATCAGGGTTTGAATTATGTTGCTGCATTATTGTTACTTGTGATGAAAACCGAAGAAGATGCTTTTTGGATGTTAGCAGTTCTTTTGGAAAATGTTCTGGTCAATGATTGTTATTCAAGTAACTTAACAGGCTGCCATGTAGAACAACGGGTGTTCAAGGATTTGTTGAAAAAAAAGTGTCCAAGGTAATATTTTCATCTTTCAAGATTCTTCATAGTCTTTTAAAAAAAAAGTTTACACCTTTTAATCTTTCAAGATTCTTAAAAATGCAGTATATATGCTCATTTAGAAGCCATTGAGTTCGATGTTTCCCTTGTTGCCACTGAGTGGTTTCTTTGCCTCTTTTCAAAGAGCCTGCCTTCAGAGGTAGTAACATTTCTTTACTGATAATAGCAACATACTTTATTTTTGCAATTTTGGGGAAAAAATATACATTGCTTATATTGGCTAAAAGAGTAAAGTATGTTGCTATTTTTTTGTAATTTAGATACATGTGTATGTATCTAAATATCTAATGGTTTCTTACTTACAAAACTTATTCAGACAACCTTGCGAGTTTGGGATGTTCTCTTCTATGAAGGAGCAAAAGTTCTATTTAATGTGGCTCTAGCTATATTCAAGGTATAACAAAATAAGAGAATCTTTTTGAACTTAATTGGTGTGAAAAGATGATTTTAACATTTAACATCAAATCTTTATGAAATAATGTTGCAATTGTTATATGAAATCTTAAAAACGTTGTAGATGAAGGAAGAAGAGTTGCTCACAACACACCATGTTGGGGATGTAATTAATGTAATACAAAATACCACTCATCATCTATTCGATCCGGATGATCTATTGACGGTAAGATTATTTTTGTCCTACTAACATCAGTTCCATGTCAAACACAGTACAATCTGTTTTGTTCTGTTCTGTCAGTGATGTTTTGGTACTTTTTGTAGGCCGCGTTTGATAAAGTTGGGTTTATGACGAGCACAAGTATAAATATATCAAAGGAAAGGAAAAAGCAAGAACCAGCTGTAATGGCAGAACTTGATCAGAGATTGAGACGCTTAAATTCTAATAATGTGGAAGTTGATAGCTGAAATTTGTGATGCAAGTTACAAAATTAAAATATATACATGAAAATGTTGTAGTACAAATGCCAATTAGGCAGTTTCTTTGGGTTGTATCAATATGTTTATGAGAAAACTCATTTCATGACAAAAAAAGGACTTACCTTAAGATCCTATAACATTGGTAATAAGATTCTATTAATTTTATATAATCTTCTTATTAATATTGTTGTTATGATGAGGATATACGTTTGTGCCCCAACATTAATTGTTTCAATATTACTATAACAACGTAATTTTTTTTTTTTTTTCATGAAAGTTTGTATTTTTGTTGAAAGAAGTTAAGAAACAAGAGAGAATTTGTTTATGATTCGCATGCTTCAATAAAATCCAAAATTTGTTTTATTAAACTCAAAGAAACTCGGACAAGAGTCATCCATTTGGATATTGCGGTTTATAAACATCTGAATCATCTTCTTCCTGTAACCCCTTTCTCGATTCAATCAATTGATAAACCCTAATTGTGTTCCAATTATAAAGGAAATGCGATTTCGCAAAAACCGCCTCCATCTTCAATCTTTAACTACGCAATGAATCGACACTCTTATCTTCATCATCATCGTCATCACTTTGTTCAGACCCTGGTAGCATCTGTAAAATCAAAATCGTAATCGTTATGTCGGATTTGGACGACATTGACCTCGGCCCAGAAGACTTTTTGGCATCAGTCCCACTGAAAAAAGTTCCTTACGGCGATGTTTTCGAAGCCTCACGCGCCGGCGACGTCAACCGGTTGAAATACCTATTGGAGTCCGGTGTTAATGTGAACGCGCGCGACCAGTGGGACTCAGTGGCTCTGTATTACGCTTGTTTAGCAGGGCATCTTGACGCCGCCAGGATGTTGCTGGAAAACGGCGCAATTTGCTCCGAACACACCTTTGATGGCGATAGATGTCATTACGCGGCGTTGAATTTGAAGGTCAGGAAGCTCTTGAAGGCGTTTGAAGCTCGGCCGCCGCCGTTGGGTCCGTTGCAGGGAGCTTTGAGAGAAACATTTCTTGGGTGTCTCGCTAATAGAGGTAATCTAGAGCAATTTGATGCCCAATCTCAGCTTACAGGTTCGTACAAACATCTGATCTTTATACGTTTGATTAAGATTTTTTGTTGATCAAATTGAATATCGATCAGACCAAGTACTTTGATTAGGTGATTTGTCTAATGGAGGATCCAGCCCGGGCTATTTTCCTCCAGATGTTGTGTTCTATCTCCATGGAAGACCTATCGAAGCTCATAGAGTCATCTTGAGCGCTCGATCTCCCTACCTCAAGAACAAATTCCAGAACGATTGGAGGTGTCGCAAGGAAATAAGATTCTCTCGAGAAAAACTGTCGTATCCTGCATTCTACAGCCTGATTCACTTCTTTTACTCCGATAGACTCGAGATTGCAGTGGACGACATGGAAGATCTCGTGAGAATATGCAAAGTTTTGAAGTGTGAATCATTACAAAAAGTGATAGAAAAGGAAGTGAGACATCAAAAATTCGCAGATTACAAAGCCCTACAAGATATCGACAATTCACAAAGACGATATATCTTACAGGGCACTTCTCTTCCTGAAGATGATCGTCTCCCTGCTGCTTTATCCCGTCTTCTTCAAATCTCTCTTGCTAATTCAACCAAATATCATGATGATCTCGTTTCACGAATAGGGTCAATGAAATTAACTTCATTTGAAGATAATGATCTTGCAGATGTTTGTATAAAAGTCGATGACAAGATCTTTCGTTGCCACCAGATAATCTTAGCTTCACGATCTGAATACTTCAAAACAAGACTTTCCCGCATGGATGATTTCCTTGAAGGAAAAGAAGGTTTACCAAATTACCCTCTTCCACTTCTCGAAGAACGTGATCTTTCCATGGAAGCTTTCGAGAAAATGATCGAGTACATGTAAGAAGAGTCAATAACTTCCATTTCCTCTTCTTTTTTTTTTTTTTTTCATTATAATATAAAAAAACACATATATTTATTTATATGTTTTGATCTCAGGTACACAGATGGTTTGAAAGACGTAGACCCAGATCAGGTACATTCTAACATTCTTAACATTCTTAACATTCATGAAAGATGATTACGAATTGAAAAAAAAAAAATTTGTTGGATTTCACACAACAGGCTGAAGAAATGTTTGATGCGGCTTCAAGATATTTGTTATTTCCTCTGAAACGAGCTGTAGCTGATGCTGTTCTACCTCATTTAGAAATGATTCCTCCATCAGAATTGTGTCAGTGGTTGATATTATCAGACATGTATGGTGTTTTGAAGATCAGGGAATATTGTCTGGATGTAATGGCATGCAATTTTGAGACATTTGCAGACACACGAGAGTTTAGAGCAATGATTTTGAGTTTGCCACCACCTTCAGGAGATTCATCACTTCGAACCACTGTTCCAAATGCTCCTGGAGCAGAAATGAAGATGACAGAAGGGAATGTTGTTGATGATTTGCGTGAAAAGTGGTTGGAAATTGAAGCGGGAGAGCTTGATGAAAGAGATGAAAGTGCTTTGCTGTTTGATAAGCGCCTTGAGATGCTTATGATGGTGGCAGAAAGGGAGCAAGCTCACACATCATCTTCTTCCTTCTGATAAATTATGATAATCTTTAGAGATAAGTGTTATAGACTTATAGTGTATATGTGACTTTCTATTCTTTCCTCTTTTTTTTTGTGGGTTTGGAATAGTTGATGCTTGAGAATATGTGGAAAGATGTTAAATTTTATATTGAATCAACTTCCTTACTTTTTACTAAAGATTTAAACCCAAGATAGTATGTTTTGTTGGGGGGTGTTTGGTAAAGATAGAATGGAATAAAAAAGGAACAGAATGGATTGGGGTATTATTATCATATTTGGCTGGTTTGAAGGAAATGAATAAGTCATTCAAAATTGTTGTTTTGTTGTGTACAATTAGAAAACTATGTTAAAAAAAAAGATTCAATGTATTTTACGAAAATAAAGTTTAATTAGATAAATATGTAGCGCTAACTAAATTGCATAAAAACTTATATTGATGTTTAAATTTATACTATATGCGTTTTAAATAGTCAGAAAAATTAAAATTTAAGGATGACAACGATGAAAGAAGAGGATATTAAAAGGACAAGAGGTACATACTTCAATTTTTTTATTTAACGAGACTACTTTTCAATTTAAGGCAATTACTTTTTAGGTTTTTAGGTTAGGGGTAAAATTGTTGAAGATATTGTTGGGGCAATATCACACCACCAATGATTTTTCCCACATGAAGATTGAGAGTGAGGAAGTGAAGAAGACACTAAGGAGGATGGGGAGGGAAAAAGTTGTTCATATACAGGTATTTTTTTTATTTATTTTTTGTGCTCATTAAGGTAACTAACTTGTTTTATTTGTTCACATTTAGATAATATGACCGACTATCACCTGTTTTTACTTATGTAACATCCACCTTACATATGACTTGAATACGTTGCACCTACATGACATGGTGCATATATGGGAAAATGACTTATTAAGGTAACTAACTATTTCAGTTGCCCATATATAGGTAATGTTCTTTTTTTTTTTTTTGTACACATTAAGGTAACTAACTTGTTTTATTTGTTCACATTTAGGTAATATGACCGACTATCACCTGTTTTTGCTTATGTGGCATTCACCTGACATATGACTTGAATACATTGCACCTATGTGGCATGATGCATATATTGTCTTCATTCGATTACATTATAACTGTGTCATACGATTCCACCCCTAATTCTAAACCCTAGATCGATCGACGATGGCTTCTTCTTCCTCATCTTATTCTTCAAAATGACAAGATGATTTTCAAGCTGATCATCCATGTGATTGCGGTTTACCATCTCGTGTGAAGATTTCAAGAACTCCTGCAACATATTCAACAATATTGATTTACCATCGAGTTTTGACAAACTCTAAATTTTCTTCCAGGGTTGTCAGGAGTTCTTGAAATCTTCACACGAGATTGTAAGCCACAATCACATGGATGACCAGCTTGAAATTCATCTTGTCGTTTTGGAGAATAAGATGAGGAAGAAGAAACAAAACAAGTCATATGTCAGGTGGATGCCACGTAGGTGCAACGTATTCAAGTCATATACCAGGTGGATGCCACATAAGCAAAAACAGGTGATAACCGGTCATATTACCTAAATGTGAACAAACAGAACAAGTTAGTTACCTTAATATGTACAAAAAAAAGAACATTACCTATATATGGACACCTGAAATAGTTAGTTACCTTAATAAGTCATTTTCCCATATATGCACCATGCCAGGTGCAACGTATTCAAGTCATATGCCAGGTGGATGCCACATAAGCAAAAACAGGTGATAGCCGGTCATATTACCTAAATGTGAACAAACAAAACAAGTTAGTTACCTTAATGTGTACATAAAAAAGAACATTACCTATATATGGACAACTGAAATAGTTAGTTACCTTAATAAGTCATTTTCCCGAGGGACAAATCCCAAATACAATATAGTTGTGACTAAGGAGGATGGGGAGGGACAAATCTTTTGGTTCGAACCTAATTCTTATTATAGTATGGTTATGCCTAAGAGAGGAAGGAGTACGTGATCGGTCAATTTTACTTGATTTTATTATTTGTTTTTATAAGTATAATTGAAGTAATTTATGTGAAGAATGGACCTACTTTGATGATATTTGTATATGTGTTTCAGGGTCAAAAGCGAGGAAAAACGATGTAAAAGATGTCAAAAACAAGTTTACGAAGTTGCATGGCAAGACATTGAAGATATAAGCTTTTTAGTGAAAAGTGGAGTTTCGCCATCCTTGGAAACCTTCGTCACCGTCCTGGATGGTTTTGGCATGCACTAGGAGGACGTTACCACTTCTGCCAATTAGGCTCTCACCGTCCTCCTTATCGTCCCATTTTCCTGACGGTGGCGTGCATAAATTACGAATTTGAGCCATTTTCACACCTATAAATACCTAATGCCACCTCAACCTAAAAGGGACTTTTTACCACTTCTCCCTTATGATTTTACTTGTGTTTTTGAGACTTCCAAACCCTTAGAAACATTTCAAAACTCCGTTCCTTTCCGTTGCACGTTAAATTCAAGGCAAGATTTCATCGAATTTTCATTAATCAATGTTTGAAGATCATTCAATTGGTGGATCATCATGAATTCCTTTAATTTTCA